CATCAAGCCAACATCGACTGCAGTGAGAGCTCTAATCTCGCCTTCTTCTCAGGCACGAAGCAGCTAGAGCAATCACCCGCTGCAGCCTCACGCCTCGCAAGCCATGGATATTGGGGGTCAGGGCTTGAGGGGATAAGTTGTCTCTTTTGTTCTCTCAAGTTTCGGGGGGGTTTTGATTGGATGGGATATGTCGTGACAGTGCCATGCCGCTATTTAATACAACAAACAAACTGCCGATACAACGCCTAGCAAAGCCATAACCAACAAACCAAACTCCTTGCACTTTGGACTTGTACTGTACTGTAAATTGTTTGCCCCCGTATAATTAGAGCATGTCTCACGCGGCAACAGCGTTAGGCTCGGATCAGGTGCTTGCCGTACCGTCCCGATGATCTCGCATCCGCTGCTTTAGCTCACATCACACTTGGCCTCGTTCTTGTTATCACATCCCACCAAAGTCTCCTTTTCTCCCCCCACGCAGAAGCAACTCCTCCCGGCCCAGGGTTCGGTGGGTGATTGTCAGCCAAGGGATCGATCCACGAGGGAAGATCCTCTTAGTTCCCGCTATGAACATGAATATGAGAACACACGAACAATGAGACGAGAGGCGGCACTTTACTTTTCTTGCCCTTGCTTGATGTTTGAGTAAGGGGGAGGAAACAATTCGTGTTTGCTATGCTTTGACCCTATGATTCTCCTGATTAATCTACTGATTTATTGGAATATACTTTTTTCTTTTCCTAAAAATCCTCTCGTATTAATATTGTTTGTGAGCTGTCACCTTGTTGAATCGTGCTTCGAGAAGCGGTCAGTTATGGATGCTGAGTGTCAGTATCAGAGTCAGTGAATAGACAGATAGATAGGGCCGGGTAAAAGAGATAACAACACGCCCTCGACTGCACTGCAATGCGTGTGCGTTCTCTCATGCAGCCTTGCCCTGCTGCATATGCATCTCGAGTCGTTGGCTCGACTTGACTCTTTTATCCTACACCGATCAATGTGTTTCAAGATTCTGCTACACTCAAGCTTCACCGCATCGGACTCAGCTAGCCCTTTAGCCGGCCAGCATACCGCCTTTTGAAACCAGCCATGCAGAGACTCTTACTCACAGCAACGACACTAATGGCCCTCATGCATGCACTTTCCCAATATTCAGGTTATACAGACAGACCTGCCTACCTGCTTATATGCGCTGGCTTGCAGTTGGCGCGCATTCCTCCATCGTCAAAGTGTTGAGCTGGCGGGTCTAACTTACACGACAGCAGCTATATCTGGTCTGGTCCCTTGCAGCTGTCCTTGGGAAATGAGTCACATATGAAAATTTTTAAATTTAATTATGTGACGTGACGTGACTGTAGGGTATCACAGCTTAGGCGATGGATATTTTTCTCAAATTGGGTTGCTGTGGTTGTGGTTGTGATTACGGCAGCGGCTTGATTGCGGTGAAGTGAGGCCATCTACGGATGTGACTATCCGGCGTGAACAACAACACATCGGTCAACCCTGCTTGTTTCCCCTTCCTCACCGCGATGATATCGGGTAACTCAACATTCGGCCGAGACTAGAGTTGTTGCCCATGTCACACTGCTTCTGAAGTACTGGTGGTTGGGCATCGCTCACCTTGAGGCAATATGTGCTTCAGGGTAGGCCCCTATATTTCCATCATGATATGTTGAGCACATTGTGGATAACAGTAATAGGCCTGGAGGCGCAACCGTCAATATCCTTGATGAACTCCAGGTTGGGCCCGACCTGGCATCTCCGATTGACTATTTGATGGTCCGACACGAAGGTATATCTGTTGATGCGACGAGATAAATGAGTTGAGTAAGAAGAAAGTTGCTTTTAGGTGTCGTATCTATGGCACATGCCTTAAGAAACAAATTATTATGCAGCTCGTGTATGATTACAATCCTACTTTCACATAATGTTTACTAGTTGTACTACAGTATTATTAGAAGAGGCATCGAACTACCTTATACTGCCCTTTTCGCCCGTAGCTACCTATACACAGACTCAATGAACAAAAGACACATAGTTATCCGCATCGACGGCTTCCAGACAAGACGAAGAGCTGGATCATACTTAAAACTAGAGCATATGTTATTTTGGAACCTAGTATGTCGAGGTTGAGTTCTAGCAGAGGCCTTGACCTGGTTCATTCACATTAGCTGAACTTGCTCCCGTATAGACACACTGGTGAATGTTCCTGCTGAATATAAATACTCCCTAGATAAAAGAGAGACAATAAAGGAATATAGTGTAAGGAGATCAATCACTATATGAGATGATAAGTCAGCACATTACATGCTGACCATCGATCCATATGTTGACTATTGGATTCGTGGACTTGCTCATTGAGCAACTCAACGGCAAGTAAGCACACAGAAAACACTGCAGTATCCTTCACAGCTAAGCTTAGCAGGACAGAGTATCAATAATACACAGTTCTAATGTGCATGCGCTTATCATCAGAACGTCAAGTCTCAGCATTCAGTGACATGTTTATAGCAGAACTAGAGTTTTGGCACCTCTTCCAAGGAGGCCCGAGGCATTCGTAATGAGCTCAACTTGATATTAGAACATATGAAAGTATGAAATTCCTGAACTTTTTAAAAATGCTCTCACTATTTGTGAAGTTGTCACATGAGCTTTGGACCTGGTGCTTAGTGACTCTTCAAGACCAAAACGTAAGTTCATGTTGTTCTTTCAAAGACTGCAATACCATACGGTGCTGACTCTCGAAGCACGGCCAGTTAAAAATTCCAGAACATGCTAACATCACAAGCACGATGTGTGAAGGAGACATGTTATTCACCCCCATCAAGTAACCAGTTGGTCGAAGCCGAACAAGACTTCACACAGTGGCCAACAGCAAATAGGATGAAGAAGCATTTGAAACATGGTTTTATATCTCGTCGTAGTGAAAACTACGGGCAATGCGATGCCGACCCTATAGTCCTCAACAAGTCTTTGTAGGATCGAGTGTAGCCAAAACTGTAGATACGCCAAACTCCCCCAACTCCTCCCATGATGAAGAACAACTGGCATCTTGAAGCAACAACTAACCAAGCAAGTCTCATCACCAAACCCACACTAACTTCGAAGCGCCTCTAACCGGTTGCGCATCTGGTCCATCATAGCTTCTGGATCTTCCTCCTCCTCCTCTTCCTCCTGGGGTTTCTGTGGCTCTGGTACAGGCGCCACGGGGAGAGTGGGCTGCTTGCGGTCCTTGAGGATCTCTCCCAAGACTTTGTCAACCTCTCCGTCGGCCTCCTCGTCCTCCATGAGCATATCGCCGTCAGCAGGAAGCGAGTCCTCGACCATCTCCTCGATGATGCCGGCCTTCATCAACTCCACACTTAGTTCTTGCATGGTACCAGCCAGTTCCGGTAGACGGATAAGCGAGTTGACATCCTTCATGATACCGACACTCGCTCGAATGGATCCCTCAATCTTTCGTACAGCAAAGGCCTCCTGTACCTGCATCTGCACCGAGTTGAGCTGCGCCTTGGATGTGATGAGGCGTGCTGAGGTCTTTCGGGCGCGAACGAGCTCACGAGCAAAGTCGCGAACTTCTTGTTGGGCTTGCTTGGCGCGTGATGGATCGCGCTGGGCTCGCTTATCGGCTTGGAGGATGAGGTTCTTGGTCTTGTATTCGACTTGTTTCACAGTCTGGATGTCTCGATCGATCTTGCGGATGTTTTGCCTCATCAACGCATTACATTTGCGCATCTACAGTCAGACATGTTAGATTATGATGTGAAATCTGGTATAGACCGGTGTGTGTACCTGTGCCTGGGGATCAGGCTTCGCAAAAAGAGATTTGAATGTTTCCATGGTGGCGGTTGGATGGACAAGGAAGTAGGAAATGCCCGCGCCAATGACGCAACTGTAAAGATGGCCAAATGGCGGAGTAGAATCCGTGTGGAGGTGCAAGTACAGTACAGTACAGTGATATGTATGCTGGAGATGATAAATCTGTTAAACTGTCCGTAGAACTACCAGACTTCAAAGCGTCTTGATGCCGTCGAATCAGCCGCAGCCAGTCGTTGGTGATGTTGGGTCATGGTGGTGAGGCTCGCCCGATACTAGCCTCAAGGCTGAGGTGATAGGCAGGCCGAGGTTTAATTGGCCCACGAGCAAAAACAGGGACCGGAGGGGTTTTAGTGAGAGGTCTGCTGAAAGCTTCCCTGGAACCTGGCACTAAGATCAGCACTGGCTCGCCTCCGGTTCCAGCGCGGGTGCTTACCCCGCCATGGATCGAATGCCGGCCGCGTGTAGGTAGGACTAGGCTGCCATTGCTAATCCAGAGATAAAGAGCCACTTCAATCAATGGCCTTTGAGTGTTTAGAGGGGATTGTTATCGAGTCTCCTGCAAGGAGCCTAATAATTCAGCTAGAATTGCACTGTATTTGCATCTGAGGACACATCTCGTAGCTGCTTGTACGCGGCAAACCTCCAACTGAGGTGACAAAGCTCCAGCACCTTCTAGGAGCTACAGCCCAGTAATAGTGGAGAAAAGCTGGCCACTTTCAAGGGGGCGGGCAAACGTCAGGGCGGGCACTCAAAAGTTGTGGTAAGGGAGTACCTTGACTATCACTATAACTTGAGTGGCAGCTGAGGTATCTGCTGATCAATTGCCCCTCTATTCTCTCCCCTTCTTAGACATTCTACCATCCCGCCTGTGACCAGACAAACGTGCGAAGGCTCAAGGCGGATTGATTCACTTTAGGTACTAAACTGTACTGCCTGCCCACTGCGTACTCTGCTACCTTAGTCTAGGTACAGAAGCTAAAGCTGCACCTCCTCCGCCCACCAAAAACTCATCCATTCCGTCTCCATTTCTCTTTCTCTGCTGCATCTGCTACATCTGCATCTGCAACATCTTTTCGCCTTCTTGTCCTTATCTCTTCCTCCCTCTCTCTTCTCCGTCTGACTTTTCCTCCTTCACGTAAATTCACGATACGACAAGATACCCTTTTACTTCAACCTTCACAATGTCTGACACTGTTTACCCCGAAGGTATGTCATTGCCTGTCCCTGCCTAGCTCCAGCCTTGTGCTCGTATTCCCCCTCCCTCTCCCGATGCCGCCTTCGAGATGCAATCTACCGTTAATCTTTTCCACGGCTGCTATCTTGATCGCATTCTGCGCATACACCCAGTATCACTTGTAATTCAACCGCTGATCATCTGCAGTCCTCTGGGCCCAGCGATCCTCTGTCGCCGACCCCTCCAAGAACTTCATCTACCTTACCATCTCTGTCCCTGATGTGCCCAAGGACAGCCTCACTCTCGACCTTCAGCCCACCAAGCTCACATTCACCGGCACCTCATCCACTCTCAAGAAGAAGTACCATGTCGAGCTCGAATTCTGGGGCGAGATCGACCCCGCTGAGAGCAAGATCAACCACACTGCCAAGAATGTTGAGATAAAGCTGCAAAAGAAGGAGCTCAAGGAGGAGTACTGGCCTAGATTGCTCAAGGACTCCAAGCGCGTCCACTTCCTCAAGACCGACTTCGACAAGTGGGTTGATGAGGATGAGCAGAACGAGGCCCCTGAGGACGACTTCTCTCAGTTCGGTGGCATGGGTAAGTCTATTACAAATCCCAATTGATTGCGCCTCGCAGAACCCTGTGACTGACAAATTTCAATAGGCGGCATGCCTGGTATGGGAGACATGGGTGGTGACTTTGGCGGTATCGACTTCTCCAAGTTGGGAGGTGGCGGTGCTGGCTTCCCTGGTGCCGAGGGCGCTGGCGAGGAGCTCGACGAGGAGGATGACGACGACGACATGCCTGCCCTCGAGGGCGACGATAAGAAGGAGGCCGCACCCGCTGCTGCCCCTGCTGCCACCGAGAAGAAGGACTAAATATCTCAATTATGAATGTTTGACGTTGCCAAAGAGGAGCATTTCTGAACTACAGTACAGGATGAGGCTGTGTAACTTTGGCGTTGTGCCGTACCAAGGCAGGCGTATTTTTCGGATATGTAGTCAAGACTACATTGCCTGTTACGATATGGAAGCAAAAAATGGAAAAACTGTTAAGCCCACGCACGGTGTTCACTATTGTGTTGAAAATCTGGTCAATGTGATCGTCAAAATGGTAACCTGGTGACTTCAAGGCTTGTGCTTGAGGCAGGTCTATGTTTGGACCCCTTCATGACTTGCTTGGCATGGGCGTTGTGTTAGTATTAGAAATGGTCATTGACCAGTCTCAGATATGAACGAGTTAATCAGTCTCGGTTCGGTGACTGGGATGCCTTAACAACGAGGCATAATTCTGGAGAAGACATGTCGAATCCTCCGTATGCTTTATCGTATACGCATGTCATCATATCTTGACAGAGATTCGTGAATGAAGCGCTTCTTATTCCATCTGTTGTACAATACACTAATTTCCAGGTCCCTCGGTTGCTGTTAAGCAACGTTGAGATATACCTACCGAACTGAGAAGTTCGATGTGATGGGGGTGAGAACTGAGACCAAACAGTAACAAATGCAAAACCAGCTGCTCCGCTGTTCGACCTCAAAGGCCTCTCTTCCTCTTTCATTTCGGATCAATCTGCTGCAGCACTAAACCGAGTAACTACCGTATCCTTCCGCAAAATGTCCATAAAATACCAGGTCCCTTGTTTTTGTAATTTATCATTGCCTCATGCCATTGTCATGGCGCTTTTGACGAATTTACTAGCATCAGAGTTAGTATCAACTGTGTATATCAAGAACAACATTACTTACAGCGATCTCATCCATGTCAGCATCACCAGTAGCAGCTGGTGCGGGTGCAGGCGCAGCAGCAGTGTTGCTGGCCTCAGGGGCGGCCGAGGCGTCAAAATAGTCAGCCATCTCCGAGTCGAGTTCCTCCTGGGTCTTCTTCGCGGGACGGCTGTTGCGACCACGGCGCTTCTTGCCAGCAGCTCCCTTGGCAGCGGCACCCTTGGCGGCACCGGCGTTGTGCTTGTCAGCAGCAGCGGACTTGGGTTGGGCCTTAGGTTGGCTATGGCACTAGTCAGTAATTGTTCGGAACGGGGCAGTATGCTTCACGTACGTGGTGCGCTCAGCAAGCGTCTTGACAGTAGGAATGACCTTGTCAGCCTGGGCAGCGCCGACGACGATCTCGATCTGTTCAAATTAGTTACTGATGCGACTCAAGATGCCAATATAGCTCACCTTGATAGGTCGGTTGTCGACAAGAAGGCCGTTCAATTTCTGGAAGGCCTTGCTAGCGCCATCAGACTTATGAAAGGTCACGTTTGCGATACCGCGGCTTTGAGAGTTGGGGCCGTAGGAGAGCTCAACTCGCTTGATGGGACCAACGGATTGGATGAAGTACTCCTATCGGGGGAAAATAGCGTTAGTCTTCCGAAGTGTAGTTGAACAAAAATCGTCATTCCGTCATCGAGCCTCGGCCGTTCCAGTTCCGGGAGAGTATTACGTCGCCAGGATTTGGAAATCATGTTGGTTGACAGCTAGCAAGCAGAGCAGTGAGACAAAGACAGAGCCCTCATTCAGCCCAGCAAGGGTTTGAGATCAGTTCAAGCGCACCAGGCCACACCCACATGGCTCTCATTCGTATAGTAACCCACAACTTGGACCCAGCCCAAGTATACTACAAGTGCAGTATTCGAGAATATGCTGAAATAGACAAGCAACCCGCTGTTTTCCCGAAAGGGAATTCGTTCAAGCCCACACAACTTTGTCTCAAGATCTGCGAGGGATAGCTGCTGTATGTGCTCACTGCTTGCTCGCTAAAGTAGTTGCGGGATTCCAAAAGGTTTCATCCGGAGGAATTCGCTGGCCATTGGCTGGTAAAATACGCATATCGTTATGACAAGCCTCTACCCTGAAAAGTCGGCGCTACCTAGGTGAGGAACGCTGACCAGGCGACTCCTACAGTATCATTGCGCGACAGGGGTGATCTCGACTTCTGACATAGTACCATATTCCAGGTTTTACGGAGTCAAAGAAGGAGAATGGGCGTCCGATAGCTCCAGGCCTAGGCTAAGTCGACTAACTGGTCGGACAGACGCGACGTCGAAGGCAAAAATGAGAGCGGCGAAGGAGAAAAGGTCGAACAAAGTCCGAGGGCTTCAAGGGCCGCAACGGAAACATACCTTAATCTGCTGCTCCGAGACGTCCTTAGGCTATTAAAATATTAGTATATGAATACAATGGGGAATCCGTGTTTGCGACTTACCAGATTGCTCACAATGATCTTGCTATCACTGTTGGTAGGAGTAGCCTTGGCTGGGGCAGGCTTTGCGCCGGCACCGCGTGCGGGCTTGGTGCTCTTCTGGATACCACCAACGGGTGCAGCCGCAGCAGGGCGTCCGGCGCCACGACGCTGGTTGGGTCGGCGGCGAGCGCTACGGCGCTGGGCCTGGGTGATATCGTCGAGAGCTTGATCGAGCTTGCCAGACATGATGATGTGTGTTTGTGAAGTTGGTAAGAGTAGGTCAAAGACGGGCTGAGAAGGACAGGCCCGCGAGGAAAAGGCTGTATCTGCTGTTCAAGCTGATGCAGTTGGTCAAATCAGCAGAAGATATCGAATGACACGTTCGATTTGGTGTCAAAGACGCGATTAAGTATGGTGAAGACTGGAGCTCGATGACGGCGCAAGTCGCGGATGTGGAATGGGGGTTGAAGAGAAGTTGGTAATAAGACTTGAGAAGAAATAAAGGGCGCGCGAGATTTATTAAGGCGGCCGAGTAAGAAGAAATTGTTTGGGCTGGGTTGAGGAGTGGGCGTGTATTGGCTGAAGTTGGGAGTTGAGTGAAGTTGGGTGAAGGTTGAAAGGAAGAGGGAGGTACGGAGGGAGGGAGACAAAGGCACAGAAAAACACGGGGTGGGCGCTGCTTCCTGCTCCTTCTGTTGCCCTCTGCCTAAGGTAATCAGCTAATGCGCGCGGGTCTAGATGTGGCGCTATACCAAAGCTAGTCCCTTTTAGTGTCAATAGGCCTCGCACCGCCACACTGTAAACATCTGGGACCAATTGCAATGCGAATAGGGACATGTATCAAAAGGGACAGTTTGCACAGACAAGACAGAGTCGTCACAAATACAAACGAGCGCAATTCCAAGGAGGGAAGCAAACGACCAACAAAGATGTGTTGTTTGTTCTTTGCTTAGCAGAAATCTGCCTAAGGTAAGGATGCGTGCATAGCTCATGCTAGGCAAATATGATCTGTGATAGGCTGGCGTTGGCGTGTACGATCAAATCCCCTATCCCGGTTGCGTTCACTTCAAGTCGACTGGGACAATTCTTTGCAAGAGATTCCCAGTATTGCATTACAGAGGGCTGAGAACCTCCCAGCAAAAGATCCATGTAATCCCCCTAGTCTAGTTGTATCGAACCCACGCTCTGCTTTCCGAATAGGCGGAATCGTTCGTCCAAAGAGTTCTCCTTAACGCCGAGCAGTCTTTGCTGCAAACTGGATATTCCCTTCTCGTAAAAAATTACAATGTGCAGTGATCGTGATACTGCAATTACAGTGACTTTGACGCTCCCTCCTTGCCGGCTTCAATCGGATCTTTCGCAGCGTTGACTTCGAGGAAGTGGTAGAGAACAATGAGGATCATTGCTGTAGTGCCGAAGAAAATGGCGAGTCGGTAGAGATCGTTGTCTGAGATCATATTTGCGGTGATGGAGGTGATGAAAGGGAAGCTGCGTAGCCCTTGGGGAGCTAGATGATTCTCGATCAGTACTTTGGGCTGCGCGCAAGCGTTCCAGCGTTGATAGGACAAACCGGGTATTGATTCTGGAAGGGAGTCGTTTGGGTAGAAACCAGAATTGAGTCAATGCTTGTAGTGATCTGTGACAATGAAGTGGGATGGACGCGAAGCTGTAGATGTTGGATATGGAGCTTCAACTGGCCAGATGGAGCTCTAAAGTGTCCGCGTTGCAGAGACAGGTACGTATTCTTGCTGGGGTTCTTAGCGCGGCCCGCAGTTGAAAGATTTCCCGACTCGCTATCCCCACTGTGAGTGGCCGAGTGAGGTTTCTAGGTGAGAATAACTTTTTTCTTTCAATATACGGAGTACGCAACTCTGTTTTCGCATTCTGGACAGAATAGCCTAGCTCCTATAGTAATTAATATGAAGAGAAACTAAACTAATGAAGTTCTCTTCAATAATGTAACTCATAATACTTTTGGAATACAGACATCATACAGGGAAGCACTTATACAGCCAATTGCCCTCGAAGAAAAGTCTCGGCAGCCACGTGACTAGCTGTGACTTCATCCTCCACACCAAGGCAGCCCAGCCCACCAACTATCAGCAATCTTCGACATTCGTCTTTTTTTCAACCTAGATTTGGTGGCTTAGCCTCTCGCCATTCCCAACACGAAATCGTGGGCGTATACCTCGACAGAAACCCTCAACGGACCTCACGATCGTCCGAATCCCATCGAATATCTTTTTGATACCTACGATTACCCCGCCATCAACTGCCCATCATGCCTCCCAAGAAGGGTAAGGAGCCTGTGGCCAAGAAGGCCCCAAAGACGGTCGAGGACCGAACTTTTGGTATGAAAAATAAGAAGGGAGGTGCTGCTCAGAGGGAAATTTCGCGCATGCAGGCGAACCTCAAGAACAGTGGCTCAGCCGAGGAGAAGAAAAAACAGGCCGAGAGGGAGGCTCGTGAGCGTGAGAAGAAGGCGGCCGAACAAGCCAAGAGAGATCTGGAGGCTATGATGAACAAACCAGCGCAAGTCCAGAAGGTGCCCTTTGGTGTTGATCCCAAGACAGTTGTGTGCATCTTTTACAAGAAAGGCAACTGTGAGAAGGGCAAGAAGTGCAAGTTTTCACACGACCTTGCCGTTGAGCGTAAGACAGAAAAGAAGAACCTGTACAACGATTCAAGAGGAGAGGAAGATGAGAACAAGAAGGCCGAAACTTCAGCAGACTGGGACGAAGACAAATTGCGAAGTGTTGTTTTGTCCAAGAAGGGCAACCAGCAAACCACGACCGACAAAGTGTGCAAATACTTTATCGAAGCCATTGAGGATGGCAAGTACGGTTGGTTCTGGATTTGCCCTAACGGAGGAGATAAGTGCAAGTATAAACATGCGCTGCCACCTGGGTATGGCTTCTTTCATCAAAATATCTTGGCAAGTACACTAACGTCAACTTAGATTCGTTCTGAAGACCAAGGAGCAAAGAGCAGCAGAAAAGGCGCTTATGGACAAATCACCACTCAAGACCCTCACCCTCGAGGACTTCCTGGAGTCCGAGCGACACAAACTCACCGGTACTCTCACGCCAGTCACTCCCGAGACATTCGCGAAGTGGAAGAAGGATCGCCTCGACAAGAAGGCAGCCGAGGAGCAAGCCCGCAAGGCCAAGGAGAACACTGGTCGTGCTCTGTTCGAGAGTGGCAAGTGGAGAGATGAGGAGGACTCCGATGATGATAATGACGATGACGATGTCTGGAATTTGCAGAAGCTTCGTGAAGAGACAGAGGCTGTCCGTTCGAAGAAGGAAGAGGAGCGTCTGCTGGCAAGCTATGATACTCCTAATAATGGCACCACGGGCCAGGCAACCCCAGCAGAGGATACTCCAGCTGAGACAGCAACCGGTTCTTGAGTCACCAGAGACACAGGCGTGTGGCATATGTAGTCTAGAAGACCTTGGATCTGGGATTCGTCAAGCTCTCCTAGTTGGAGCTCGCCGGGGAACAGACCATCCAGAGGCAAGCCGAGCCCTGCTGCAGACCTCACATCAGTGATTTCACAAGTGAGAGACGTGTGCAGGTCTACCATGGCGACCTCGTCATCTTGCTGAACCTCATGAGAGGAAGGATGACGTCTGTCCTCCGAGTAGAATAAATTACAGTACCAGCATACCAGCGTGCGAGCTGTCAAGATGACAACCAACACTTGTATAAACTATAAGCCACAACTGCATTCGCGCAAGAAATCGCTTGCTCCATGTGTCAGATGTGTGCGTTGCCATACATGGTTTACTCGCAATCATTATGGTTGTAATGGTTGGTTTTATCCTGCCGAGTCAACTACTCTTTAAGGCATGATGCATGATGGCCAAAAGTCTCAACGGCTGAATGCATCGAGAGGCGTCGATCTTGGGAGTTTTGAGGTTCTGGTGGTGGTGATCGTTTGTGAAGCACAACAATGGAGCAGCCAAAGAGAGGTCCTTTCGTGCTGAGGTTAACGCGGTTGTCCAACCCCAAATGATGCAACCTATGATTGCGGGGTGAGGATTTACAGTGGTCGCTATTGGGCGAACGCTAAGTAAGGTAAGGTACTCCGTAGCTAACGAGCTAACTTACCCGGACATTGAAGTCCGCTTGATGACATGGGACATCGGGTCATAATTTGGACGTTGAGAGTTGTGCTATTTTATTGCATCCGCGGAAATGGGCCGACGGACGTTATCTCGGCTGAGGAGTCAACAGCGAGAGTATTCGAGCTCTAATATCGACAAAAGGCTTCAAATTGAAGCGTTGATGAAAGAACGTCGTTGTCGTAGTATAAAGTCATTTCGAGTAGTCTATTTCCCCAAAAACATGTGATGAACGCCCCCGGCCGGCAGATGTTACACCCACTGAGATACAGCAGCTCGCAGGGAATTGGAGGGGTCAATTACAGGGCACGGAAGCTCTAAACGATCTTCGCGAAGAGGTCCAATGTCATCGAGAGGGAGCCAGGAACCAAGAAAGAGGTTGGATTGTACCTATCTTTGGCGTTTTCTCGGTCAAACCCCGCGACCTTGAAACTTGGGTGGGCTGTTCCTTCCCGTCCGAGGGGCTGTTTGGAAGTTTGACACCGAAGAAAAGTAGCAAGTCCGGGAGGCAGGCATGACCCGTTGCCTCCCCCGCCTACGCCTGCCGTCCTCCATTACCACTTCCTTCCCGTCAAGATCTACCTTGTCTTTCCTACCAATTAACTCGCACCGTGAGGTAAGGTCAGTTCCTGCTGCCCATACTTGCTAGGTCAATCTCCACCTTTGGCCTCAGACCTTAATCCTCCAACTCTCCTCTTCTTATCTTTTCCCATTTAATTGATCTTCTGTGTAAGGAACTGAAACCATCAGCATCGTCGCATCCGTGTTCGTCGCCGTCCTCTGCCGAGGGCACCCGGACGCCCGAGCCCGTGCAGAGACATCAGTCAAGAGCCGATCACCACCGATATCCCGACGCCGCTCCGCCCCCGACCTCCGATCTGGGTCCTCTAAATCCACCCGGTCATCTTTTTCCATTCAAACGTCTCTGTACCTGTACTCGACTCTCCGGTGCCTCCCGTCTGAATGGACCCTACGGCTGCTCTCGATAGGCCGTGTTTCGACCGCGCCTCCAAATAAAGCTATATCTCGACTATATCTATACTCTACCTCTTAGGCTGCACACGCCCGTGTCCTCTCGTCGGTGCTCCGGTTTGAGGTCCAATCACTCTCTATCCCGGAGAACGGGAGGAAGCAATGACCACTGGAGCTAAATTGGCCCACCAAGATGTCACAGGCCATCAATCGCAATTGTCGTCACTATCTCCAGCAACAACTTCTGCCATCAGCATGCCTCTCGGCGCTGGAGGGCGACGCGATGGCGAGACCACGGCTTTGACTGCAACGGGTGCGGCCGTCTCTGCAGTACCCAAAAAGAGCCCTTCCGACCGTTTTGTTAAACGTTACCGAACCGAAATCGCAGCCAGCTCTTCCAGCGCATTCTCTACCCTCGCCGCTTTCCCACTCGACAGCGTCAAGACGCGCATGCAGACCTACCACTACAATGGATTCCTCGACTGTGTTCGCAAGACATATCATGCTGAGAAGCTTGGCGGCTTCTTTCGAGGTATGTTGCAGCCAATTGACAGGGCGTAGTCGGTCGCAATTGACTAACCCGACATTGCAGGCGTCACAGCACCGATGGCAAGTATAACGCTTGTCCGCACCGTCTCCTTTTCGATCTACCAACGTGCCAAATACTCTTATTCAGCTTGGGTCAAGCGGAACTTCGGCTTTGATATCATTGGCCATGTTAATCGCCCTGGCACCTATCCGAATCTCTACTCGGTTGCATGCTTTGGCGCTGCTGGTGCGACCGCTGGCTCTTGTATAACCTTTCTCGCCTGTCCTTTCGAGCTCACCAAGCTCAGTGCGCAGGTCTCTGTACTGCTCGCTGAACGCGGTTCGACCAATAAAGGTAGTCACGCTGTGGCAGCTAGCTACCAAAATAAGGGCACCTTGCGGACAATGGCGAATATCATAAAACACCGGGGTGTTTTTGGTCTGTATACTGGCCTGAAGCTTCATCTCCGTGAGTGGCCATTTGAATGATGTGGTTTTTGCACTAGCTAACAATTTGTAGTTCGTGACACATTAGGCACTGCTATCTATTTTATGGTGTATGAAAGCGGGAAACAAATTGGAAACACATTGGCTGGCGATCATCCCAACAGCAACAAAGTGGCTGTTGTTGCCGCTGGTGGCATGTGTGGTTTAGTATCGTGGGCAATGATCTGTAAGTTGAGCTGTACCTCATTGTGAATCCCTTTTACTCACAATTGGCAGACCCGATCGATTCAGCCAAGAGCATTTACCAGAGAAACTCATTACTCTATTCCAAGGGGGAAAAGGTCGAACCAGCGCCCAAGATCGAATTCTTCAGGCGTCACATGTACCGTGGCCTAGGCGTTTCTATGAGCCGGTCATGCGTTGTGAACGCCATATTTTTCTCTTCATTTGAGTTTGTCAAGAAGCACATTCATCAAATGGACGATGAGAATTAACTTGACAGAATCTGCCCAATTGCGTATTGGTGAAATAAGCAGGAATATCAGGTGGTCAAGTGATTATTGGGAAAGGTATCTGACAATTTTGGATGGTTGGTAACCAGGAACCAAATGCAGAATCATGCATGCATTACGAATGGGCGTTATTGGGAATTAGTGATTTATCTCCAGTATCACATCTGGGTAGTTAGTTGTTTAGGGGTGGGTGGTGACATGAATACCTCGAAACCGGAGACTGGAGTCTGAAAAGGAAGAAGATATTAACGGGAACACCAAATTGGTTGTCCTCATGAATAAGAAATTTACTCATTTTATATTATACTGCCACGTTCTGCGGAGCCTTTGACATTCAGCCTACTAACCAGACACTATGGGACTTATATAGAGCACATATGAAAGCCTCGTACACTAAAGTCTGTATGGGCTTGGCTTGGAACAAGATTGGACACCTCGGTACTTCACAGAATTATCATGAGAAAAGAGCAAGTTATGAGAGGAGACGAGTTTACCGAATCTGGTTCATCAAATTGTTGTCATTGAGTGATAAAGTAACCTCTATAGGTCACTTTCTAAAGGTAGACAAGAACCATCCCCTTTCCTTTCTTCACAACCGAATCATGTCTCCATTGATACCTCCGAAAGTCATTCACTTCCAACTTCTCACTTCTTCTGTTCTCCCTGTCCCTCGCCCTGCTTAGCCGCCTCATTGGCGTTCTTGTCAGCTGCAGCCTGAGCTCGAACGTCAAAGCCGGTGTCCTTGTCATTCTTGGCCTTTTCAAGGAGTGTTAGCATTCCTCTCTATGTTCTGGAGGGACTGGCTTGTATGCTGGGCATAGGGAAGAAGACTTACTTCGTTGGCCTGGATACGGGCCGCAGCATCCTTGGTCATGGGGTTGGTTTTTCTCGACGCCAGACATGATGAAGATTGGATTGAGTAGAGGGTTTTTTGAGGGTCTGTGTATTTGTTGTAGAGTGTAGCGTAGTTGTGAGCTGATCAGAGTAGAGTGTGTATGAGAAGTTGTTGATGAGAAGAAAAGATATCCAGAGGTGGGAGAGTCTGGGGGTATTTATACTTTTCCAGTCACCTCCTTTTTCTCTCTGTTTGATGGTTATTCTTGGTTTGAGCTTCGTGTTTGTAAGTTCTCGCTTCTTATTGCTTTTTCTAGTGGTAATGCTGTCAGTTGTTTGTTCTAACGACGGTTTGATCAGGCATACACCAAGCAATCGCCGTCAAACAAAATGTGTTATGCTAGACCAACAATTTGCTCACTAGATAGAGACAAAAGGCCGATGTTTGATACCAATTCATCAGTCTCAAGGCACGGGAGGTAAGTGATAGAAGGGCTCTGTCTGAGCTCTGGGACTCAAGGCAGAATATCCTCGCTAATGACAGAAGCAACGCAAATGAAGGCACAGATTGTTGGTTTATGTCGGCTACAAGGTAACAATAAACGTGCTTTCGATTTGTATATTCTATTGCAAGCAGAAGCAAGTAATCTATCATCATTATCCTAGCTACTATTACCCTAATGTCCATAACATGATTACCAGAACGCCATGCTTAATCAAGACGGGCATCCTAGCCCATCACCTATAACTTCACCTCCCTGAGCAACGGATATCGAAAGTAAGGCAACGCCAAAAGTGCAATCGACAAGCCACCATCCTCGCTGAGTCCCAAAAAGCCAACAGTCCTTACTCCTTACGCAAACACTTCAGCAAAGGCGCAATCCTCGACTTTTTGCTCAATCCAACTCGATAGACGGGCTTGTTGATGATTGCTGACAATCCCTTGGAGGGCGTTGAGCTTCTGCTTGTGATTGCTGGTTTCTCTGGCTT